AGACCTAGGAGAAATTAAATTTGATTCTATATAAAGAGGTTAACATCTCTTCCATGCCTAAGTTTAGCCTGAGGATCCTACATTCTACACTACCCTTAATACACATGCGTCAATGGAACCATTAAACAGAAGGGAGCTCAAGATCCTCAATGCATTAGGGCTGAGTTGGTGTACCCCGGTGCCTGGAACCCAACCCACCCGCCTACTGCTGCAATGACCTGGGGATCCTCCCTCCCTAGCCTGCTTAGAGGCCCCTGGGATTGTAGTTTGGAGAAGTCTGATCAGGGATAAAAATCATTATAGGATTCTGGATGATTCTTTGATATCCTTCCATCTCTACCCCTGCTTCTTCCTGCCGCCCCACCCAGAAGAGCCCTGGCTGGGGATACCCCCATTGGCACCCACTATCCTGAATCTCTGACCACAGCTGTCCCCACCCATCAGCTATCCAGCAACCTCCTCTTTCCTGAGCCCTCAGCCACAATGAAAGAAGCCATCATATATTATAAATCACATCCACAACAGCTCGTGTTAACTGAACGTGGGCTGCAGGTGAAGAGGATGTGCAGCTCAGCCCACCTCATAGTATTGTCCCTGGTGGACCAAGGAGGAAGTAGAGGTTCAGAGACGTGTGAGGACAGGGCTCCCTGGTCCAGGGGCTGCAGGCAGCTCCAACTTGGCTTAGACCAAGTTTCTTGCAATTCCAAACCTGGAGGCCATTCCCAGGCCTGTCCTGTGGGCAGGAGGAGTAACCTGCGGTTCAGTTCAGCCTCTCTCTGGGAAACCCATTAAGCAAAGAGGAGTAAACACTGAGAGCCAAGCCGGGATGCCTCCAGTTTGCAAAACTCGGGTGCTTCCTTGTCCTGATGAATTATTCACACCCACGACCAGGCAGTAGATCAATAATGCAGGAGGCAGAAGCCTTGCCAGGGCCCAGCTTCCAGCCCAACAGCTCTACTGCAGCTCCCCAACCCTCCCCCAGCAGAGAAGCCATGGGGCTGTGTCCTGTCGGGTGGTGCCCAGGGCCTCTGCAGTCTAGCTGCCTTCAGCACACCAGGCTGGGTGCTAAGCTTCAAGGACCCCCAGGAAGGGGAGACTTTCTTCAGTTTCCATCCTTCTTCTGCTCACCGGGGCCATATGCACCTGAGGCCCCCTGGGAATGCACGGGGGCATCCTATGCACCTGAACCAACCCTGGGAATGGAAATCCTGTCCAGGACAAGGGTGCTGGAGACAGCATTGTTTCTCAGGGTACCTTTCTTCTTCCTCTTCTTCTAAGCTTGGAGATTGGGGTTGGACACTCAAGAGAACCCAGGATGTAGCCAGGCATGGTGGCATTGCTTGTAAACTCAGCAGCTCAGGAGGCTGAGGCAGGAGGATCGCGAATTCAAAGCCAGCCTCAGCAACTTAGCAAGGCCCTAAGCAATCTAGTGAGATCCTGTCTTAAAATAGAAAATAAAAAGGAGTTAGGATGTGGCTCAGTGGTTAAGCACCCTGGGTTCAATCTTTGGTACAGAGAGAGAGAGAGAGAGAGAGAGAGAGAGAGAGAGAGCTAGCACAAGTGCCCAAGATGTTCATTTTGGTTGTCAGTAGAAGTTTCCATCCAAGCAGCTAAGACACCCACTTGACTTTCCTTTATCCCTGGGCAGGTTCCAGAAAGTCCCACCATCCCTCAGGAGCCTCAATTTTGGGGTACACCCACTCTGACCCTCCCATCCCAGGCTGCAACCTTACTGGCAACACTTTAAAAAATGAGGTGCAAGCCTATGCTGCTGTGAGGCCTCCCAAGTTTATCTGGAGTTTCTCTTGCCCTTCTCTGTTTCTCAAGCAAGCAAGGTGGTAGAAACAAGATTTCCAAGATTTCCTCATTTTACACAGTATATTCATTGTTAGCACAAAATGACGGAGCCCGGTGCAAACTTCATGGATCAGCACGGCCTTTCTTCAGTGGTGGAGTCGTGCCCTTGGTGGACCCACTTTCCTGATGGAAAATGAGCCACTGTCCCCAGGAGGAATCTGTGGTTATATGTGTTACACTGAGAAGTGATTTAATTACTGATAGAGCGTGTCAGTTTGAGCACTCCGGAAACAGGTTTGTAAGAATTTGATATTTGTTTTACTGGACAGTATTTTTATTTGGGGAAGAATAGAGGGTCTGGAGTCAGTGTTCAGTGCTTATCTCTTTTCCTTCGGGGTCCCATTGTACTGTCACTAGGAAAGGATTCATTTGGAAAAGGATCAATGCTTTGGCTTCCCCCCAGAGACTGCCATTCTAGGCTTGATGGATGTCTCCTTCCCGGGGATTGTCTTATCACTGGTTGATGTTTGTGCTTCCTTCCCAGGGATTGTGCTGTCACTGGGAAAGGACCCATGTTATCAGTGTGTTGTCTTCTTCCTCACTCCCTCTTTCCAGGCCACACTATTTGGGGGTTTGTCATTTTTCCATATCTTATACCCATAAAGGAAGGAGGAAGAAGGATGGGAGGAAGGTTATTCTTTCCAGAAGGGAGACAAGGGCCCTATGGAGAAGCATCTCTCCAAGGCTCTCCATTTCTGAAACAGACTGTGGCAAAGCTGGCCCACTCCTGAGGAACCAGAGAGCTGAGGGAGGCCACTCCAGCCATCTCCACCAGGCTCGTCCAACTTTAAAGTGCATGTGAACCACTCGATTGGTAGGGTGAGGGTATGAGGGGGCAGCCTCAGCTTCCACTTCCCTGACAGTTGTGGGACCGTGCTAATGATCCCAGGACCACATTTCCCACGGAAACATCTAGGGAGCTTGTAAAACCTGGATGCACAGGTCATACCCCAGTTAGGCCAGATTTGCCAGACATCAGGGTCGTGGACTGCTCACAGATGATTCCCAGGTGTGACCAGGATGAGAAGCCTGGTCTAGATCAGCTCATTACTTTACATGGAGAGACTGAGGCCCAGAGAGGAGCTGGGCCCTGCCCCAGACTGCATGGCCGATGCATGGAAGGTTTGGCACAGGGTTGGGGTGCTTGGTTCCTGTGCATCAGAGAAGGAGGCTAGGGAGGAGGAGGGCTGAGACTCAAGAATCAGGCTAAGGGAACCCAGAACCTTCCAGATTCTGGAATGAGAGGGGTTGCCAGGCTGTGCCAGGTCATCGTTATTTATGTCCCTCATATGTGCCCAGCTCTTGTCCTCTCATACCTTCATGTTCTTGGTCCCCACAGAGCTGTGGGATCATCACCCTGTTTATAGATGGGGAATTGGAGTCCCCTTGACCAGAAGTACAGTCATCTGTCGTCGGAAGCCTCCTATGTCATGAGAGCTCCAAATTTTCCCTTACTGATTCCAAAACACAAGTCTTTCCTTCAGCTCCTTTTAAATTTATGAAATTGAGTTCTGTCTGACAAATCATGCCAAAGAAACATTCAGGCCACCATGTCAGGCAATAAACCGATATGGTTACCATCAATAGGGCCTGGGTAGCAGATGCCCATTCACCCTGGTGTTGCCGGTAGTGTCACTCTGGTGGCCTTGCATCTTAATTTGTATCTTCAGGTGGTGCTTAAAATGCCTTTGGAAAGGTCACTTCTGGGCAGCACTTAGGCAAACTGCAGAGAAATACGTTACATGCCAGACCAGTGCAGCCAAGGACATCAAAATGGCCAGTTCCCTTGGAAGAACTCACATACTTTTTAAGACCTGGAAAGGCTACTATAATTAACTGCCTGCTTCACTTCTCTCTTTTTTTATCCTTGTGTTCCCAGGATCTAGTACAGGGTTTGGCGCATAATAGGTGCTTAGTAAAAGTTTGTGGAGGATGGATGAAGGGGGCCCATTCTGAGGGTCCCTAGAGAAAGCCTCCCCTGTTCTCCCCTCCAAGGTGAAGCCTGCTGCTCCAGCCAGAGCTCCAGTGAGTACCCACCCACACCCTCATGGTGTCTACTGAATTGCTGGCCTTTCTCACTGGGTTGAGAGATCTGCAAAGCCAGGGCCCGTGCTCATTCATCTCTGCGTGACCACTGCAGGCCCCAGGCTGGCACATAGACTGTGCTTGTTAAATTGAGTTGCATGGAATCCTGAGATGAGATCAGTGTGCACACAGCCGCTTCCTGGTCACTCAGGAGTGCCTTTCAGGAAGTAGAGGAGGCCAACTCAAGACTAACCACTAGGAAAAAGCCTGAGCCCTAGGGGACAAAATTTGCACAAGGCCCACTCCTCCATGGACAGGCATGAGGTGGGCTGAGGACATGCTCAACCTAAGGCAGACAGACCAGTGAGGGGAGAGAACTGGGGAACAGGCCCATGACCTGGACCAATCTTTAGTTCCCACATAAACACCAGCCACAGCCCTCTGTTCTGTCATAACGGCAGGAGATGGGCGAGTCTGGGTCAGCAGCTGAAGAGGGTGTGCTGTAGTCTTGACATGGAGTATTCCATTGGATGCTCTCATTTCCAGGTTAATGAGGCACAGAGGGGTTAAGGAGTTTCCCCAGGGGACTCTCCTGGTAAGTAGCCTGGCAGGATTTGAACCCAGTGAGCTGGTTCCAGCTCCCATGCCCCGGTCCACTCCGCTGTGCCCCAGCCTCTGGCCATCTGTGCCGGTAGCACTTCCTTGCCTTCCCTGTGGCCTCCCATGGGCTCTGCCCATGCCCACCTCCCCAAGAGGCCTCCCCCATGGGACATTAAAAGGGCCACAGGGATTTATCATTGTGTGCAGAGCCCAGCACGTGACTGCAGCCAGCCATAGTTGGTTCCTGACCTCTCTCTCCAGCCAAGAGCTTTCTTTATATCCAGAAAGAACAACTGGAGGCCAACGATGGGTCCAGCATCACCCAATAGTTTTAACTGAGGCCTGGTAAGGATGGGTGATTTCCTTAGAGAAATACCTTGTGATGGCTGTGGAGACCCAGTGTGCCCAGGGTCCCCAGGGGCCACTCCCAACACTGGGAACCAACAGGCTGAGTGATCTGCTCCCCCCTTGGTTGTTTGGAACCCCTGGACCTCAGCAGTACACACACACAGGCAGGGTGAGCGTGTGTGTTCAGCTTTATTTCCTTCCATGCCAAGAAATACAGAGTCACTGGTGTGAGTGGTGATGGCAGTGGGGAGGGGTTCCAGGGAGAGGCTAGATCGGTAGCCCCAGCCAGGGGACCACCTGTTCATGCATCTGGTGGCTGGACCCATAATGGAGCTGGAATAGCAGGATCACTGTCCCTCCCGTTTCCAGCGCAGCCTGGAGATGCCGGGCTGCCCTTGGTCAGAGGCTTCAGAGACCTTCCTTCCGTTGTCTCTCACTCCTGCCCTGTGCTTCCCTTGACCCTGGTACCACTAGAAGACTCTCAGGCTGCTCTGACCTGAGTGGAAGAACATTCCAGCTCAGCCACTCCTGGTGCTGTCTGCTAGTGGCTTCACCTTAGCAGGGCCCTTGACTATTCTGGGATTGGAGCAGGAAAGTGTGTGTGTGTGTGTGCCTGTCCTGATCTCCCAAGTGACATGAATACTCTGGTTCACACCTCTTCCCCCTGCCACCCAACAAACAGGGATACCTCTATTTTGGTCTCAAAGAGCCCATAAAGCAAACCAGACTAGTCCCCCCTTCAGGAATGGGAGAGGTTGGAGTGTATTCCCCCCAAAGGAACTGATGTAGGAACACACAATCCCAAAGGGATCCACCCAGCCTCCCTTCCCTCCCCGGGGGTCACACAGGCCCTGTCTGGAAGGTTCAGGGCTGCTACAGCACCAAGAGCACCTTCCATCAGCCAGAGTCTCTGTGCTTACCCGCTCTGCCCTGGAGCCTCTGAGAGGCAAAGGCCTCAGAGAGGAGCATGTGGGTCCTGATCGAATGCAGGCAAAACAGGCTGTGTCTGGGAACCTGCCCCCCCCCATTGAGGGTAGTAACCCTGGCAAGGTGGGCAAGCCTGGGCATCTCTCTCTAGGTCTGAGTTGAAGCCAGGGGGCACCCAGGAGCAGATGAGGCCCCTGTGGGCACAGCCTCTGCCCGGGAGAAATGTGGGGAGATCACAGGGCCAAGGAACAGGGGGAGGCAGAGGGCCTTACTCAGCTCTTTTCAGGTGTCCCTCTAGATCCTCAAACTCAGAGGCTGTGGCGTCCAGCCCCTTCCTCTGGGCATGTGAGTATATCTCCCAAACCTGGGGCCCCTTACTCTTCAAAGACTGGACCCTTCCACTAAGCCCTTCCTCTGTCTAGGACCTCTAGATCCAACCCAGCCCATTCCTTTTCAAGCAGCACAAATACCTCTAGCAGCTTGGAAGCTCATGGGAAGTCCCCTGAGGGTGGTCCCCAAACCACTTTAACAGAGAAAGCATTTTCTGCTTGTGGATGTCTAGGGACACTGGGCCAAAAACAAAGCATCAGATGAGGCTGGGCTGGGAGCCTAAAGCCAGGCCCCACCCAAGGCACTCTGCTTGGGGACCCTGAGTGTTAGGCATGCAGACCCCTGAGCCACTTTGCATAGGTTCTCAAGCTTGCACCCCAGATCATGGAGGAGGCCCCGGCAGGATGAGCCCTGCCCTCCCCACAGGCTGACCTAGGTTGGGTCAGGTCCCAGAAGTTCCTGTTGGTGCTCTCCCAGGCTACAACACAGGTGGGGAGCAAGAGGCACTGAGATGTCCTGGGAAGCATGCTGGGGCCAGAGTCCTCAGCAGAGGGGCTCCGAGGCTGAAAAGTTTGGGAAGAGGTCAGTGTGTCCTGCTGCCCCTGTACCTGCCTTCACCAATATCCCTGTGAGTGCCTCCACCCTGCAAGGGAGGTTTAAGTGTGTGGCCATTGCCTCTTTCCAGGGCAAGGCACCATGGGGTGTCCGAGGGCATGTGCCCGAGGGCATGTGCCAAGTGGTAACTTCACCTGTGGTAGGTAGTCATAGGTAGGGGGTCACAGCAGGCATGTGGCACAGAGCATGCAAAGTGTGCTTTTGAGAAAAGTATAAAAGGTAAAGTCCCACATCTTTGCTCCTGTCCAAGGAAGGAAGGGCCTGGGCTGCTGCTTTCTCTACATAATTGGTCTTATTTGTGGAGCTGGTTTTCTTCTCATTCTGGCAGTTTATGCTACTTCATAGGTCCCGGGAAGTTGCAGGCACGAGGAACAAACCCAGAGCCTTGGGGTGAAAAGGCTGGGATTAAACCACATTATTCATAGTTTTCACAGTAAATTTAATTTCCTTCTTTCCTTCTTTCCTTTCTTCTTTCCATTCTTTCTCCAGATTTTCCCATCTGATATGGACTGACAGTGGGGTAACTTGGGGTTTCCCTCCAAGTTGTGCTTTCGGAGCTTGAGGACAGGTGGGCACTTGGCAGTCACCATCTAGTCCTCCTGTGGTACAGGGTGTGGGTTTGGAGCTCTGTGGCTGACCAGGGTCTTCCTCTGCCTGCATGGCTCCCTGGTTACTTTTATTTCTTCTGAACTGTAAAGAAAAGAACATGTATGAAAGAAGAGAATACAGAACATTGGGTCTTTAAGTCCCAGAGTTGAGGATTTAGTGTAGTTTCCTAGTGGGAAAACTAATGGGGCCAATCAGAATCAGCCCTAGGACTTTTGCTATAATCGTCGACAAAGAGTCATTTTTGCACACGCCTATAATTACAGCTACTCAGGAGGTTAAGGCAGGAGGGTTGCAAGTTCAAGGCCATTCTGGGCAACTTAGTGAGACCCTGGGCAACTTAGTGAGACCCTGTCTCAAAATAAACATATAAAAGGGCTGGGGATGTAGCTCAGTGGTAGAGCAGTTGCATAGCATGTGCATGGCCTTGGATTCAATCCCAAGGAAAGAGAGAGAGAGAGAAAGAGAGAGAGAGAGAGAGAAAGAGAGAGAAAGAAAAAGAAAGAAAGAGAGAAAGAAAGATAGAAAGAAAAAGAGGCACTTTAAAAAAAATATTTGCTGTTGATGGACCTTTTTTTTTTTTTTAATTTGCTTAAATGCAGTGCTGAGAATCGAATCCTGTGCCTCAAACATGCTAGGCAAGTGCTGTACCACTGAGCTATAACCCCAGCCCCCCAAAGAGGCACTTTTTTTCTCTCCTTACTGGACTGACTAAAATGTATGCCACTCTTAGGGCCACTATGAGACCTGCTGGTTTCCATCTTGCCACCATAAGGAGAGATCCTGCCTAGGAATGAAGCCTCATAAGGTGACACTAAGCGGATGCTCCTGCCTCTTACACACCTGCACATCCATCTCCCTTCACACTGGTGCTGTAAACTGAGCCTCAGAGGGCTTATGGAACATGCTTCCATTTCCACAGGGAGAAAGTGGAGGCCCTGGATTCTGAACTCAGGCAGGCTGACCAAAAACCTGAACACTTCCCTCTCCGGAAAGCCCATCATTGTCCCTGGTCCCACCATGGAATCTCAAACTCTCCACCCCATGTTGATCTCTCCACACTCTTGACCAGTGCCTCCCACATTTGATGATTGGACTGAAAATCTTACAAAAATTCAGTGGGTGGGTGGGGGTAGGGCATTTCTGACATGGTCCCAGATGATGCCCCTGCTGCTGGTCCATGGAACACATTTTGAGAAGCAAGATCTGTTGAGAAGAGATCTGCTTGATCACTGAACCAGGAGACATGTGTGGGCATGGGGCAGCTCTGGGAGGTGCAGCTCTGAACTCACAAAGCTACATGGGCTTTATGAGCAGCTGAGAGTCTCCTTTGAAAAGGGTTCCCTGGCTGGAATGACTTCACTGGGTCACCTCTGGGTGGTCAGAAGTGTTGCTGCTTCCTGGATCTCTGTGCGTGCATTGTTTGCTTCTGAGCTGCCCATGCTGTCTGAGCCAGGAGGCTTGTGCTCCAGCCCAGAGTATAGAGCAGAGTCACATCCATTATCTCAAGTGATGCTCACAAAAGCTTCCACTCCAGAGGCTTCTTCCTGGCACTTTATACAGGAAAAACACTGAGGCTCAGCCAGACAGGACACTGGCCCAGGTCCCAGGACCATTGGGCTCCAAAGCCTGTGCCCTTTCCACACCCTTTTCTATTGATTCACTGCCCAGGCAGAAGACAGTCAGAAAGCCCATCCCCACTCAGTCGTCACTGCTGGGGACTGGTCCACTTTTCTGAAATGAGAAGATAAGACTATGCCCCCCACCCTGCTTGTATTCTCCCCCCACCCACCCATTGCCCCTGCCCCAGGGGCTCCCCCTGCTCCATGCATCTGGGCCTCACCTGCGAAATTGACGGTGACAGCCACGATGATAATGATGATCCCCATGATGATGAAGGTGATGCTGAGCAGCCGGGCCAGGCGACCCAGCCTCCGGGCCCCATCCAGGTCCCCCTGCTGCACACTACTTCTAGACTGCAGAGAGAGGACAGCAGAGGCCTCAGGATGGGCGTCCATCAACCACGTAGACCTGGGCAGCCCTTGGTGGCCTCCACATGGGCTTCCAGACACACGTCATCCCCCACTGCCACCCACTCCAGTAGCCCCCCTTAGGGAAAGGAAGAAGGTTCCCCCTGGAGAAATGGCTTAGGCCTCTTGTGGGGACCCTAACCAAGACCGCCCCTCACTGGCAGGGAACAGGTGGAAGCAGAACCAAGAAATTTAGGGCAGTTTCGATCAGGATGGTGACAGGGCAGGTAGTAGAGGCAGATGGTACAGTGGAGACCCAGGGCCTGGGAGGGTAGGTCCAGGCCAGCTTGCAGGAGCAGACAAGCCAGAGTCCCCTGGACCTCAGCCCAGGGCTTAGTCCTGCAGACACATTGGAACCCCAAGGACCCCTGTGGTTCTGCCTGCCTCCTTTATTCTGAGAGTCTCCCTCTTACTACAAAAGAAAAAACGGACTGTCTTCCCTCTTGGTATTGCCCACTCAAGACCACATCCTTTTTTTTTTTTGATACCAGAGATTGAACCCAGGGGGCACTTACCTACTGAGCCACATCACCAGCTCTTTTTTGTATTTTTTTAGAGACAGGGTCTCAATGTGTTGCCTAGGGCCTCACTAAGTTGCTGAGCCTGGGTTTGAACTCTTGATCCTCCTGCCTCAGCCTCCTAAGGTTCTCGGATTACAGGCATGAGCCACTGTGCCTAGCAAAGACCACATCTTTCTTCAAGCCCACATTTCAGACCATGCAAGAAAGGGGAGGTGTCTCAGGGTTGTCCTGGAAAGCTAGGATTGGGGTACCAGGGCCCTTTTCTATGACTTGCTCCTCCTTGGTGAGCTGTTTTTCTTGAACCTAGTTAATCTGGTGAAATCAGGTGGATGCAGGTGGGGACCTAGGTGCCTCAATAGGAGGTATGTCCAGGAATCTGCAAGGGTGGCCCTGTGCTCCTGCCTAGAATAGTCAGGGGTCTCTGCTGGCCAAGACTAGCCCCATAACCTCAGGTTCTTTTTCTAATCACTAGATTTAATTAAACGTGTTTGTTCTTTTTAGATATACATGACAGTAGAGTGTATTTTCACATATTACATATACTTGGAGTATATATAACTTATTCTAATTAGGATCTCATTCTTGCAGTTATATACGATGTGGAGTTTCACTGGTTGTGTATTCATATATGAACATAGGAAAGTTATGTCCGATTCATTCTTCTGTCTTTCCTATTCCCATCTCCCCTCCCTTCCCTTCATTCCCCTTGGTCTAATCCCATGAACTTCTATTCTTTTCCCCTGCTCCTTGTTGTGTGTTAGCATTCATGCATCAAAGAGAACATTCATTCGGCCTTTGGTTTTTATTGGCTTATTTCACTTAGCATGATAGTCTCCAGTGCCATACATTCACCAACAAACGCCACAATTTCATTCTTCTTTAGGGCTAATGTTTCATTATGTATATACACCACATTTTCTTTATCCATTCTTCTGTTGATGAGCACCTAGGTTAGTTCCATAGCTTAGCTATTCTGAATTGAGCCGCTATAAGCATCCATGTGGCCGAGTCACTCTAACATGCTGATTTTAAATCTTTGGGTATAGACTGAGGAGTGGGATAACTGGATGACCTCAGATTCTTTACTAGATTCCCTCTATTCTTCCTGGACTTGGTGGACTTGCCCCAGCCCCCTCTGGCAACAGGCATAGGAAGCAGTCCACCAAACTGTGACTACTTTGGGGGCTTCAGGCCAATCACTTGGTTATTTTATTTTTTGACTCTTAGAGGCCCCTGAGTTTAGCATGGAAGTGTGGTTAAGTACCTTGAAGAGGAGGAGGAGGGGAGGGGAATGATAATGGTGACTTATTAAGCTCTTACTTTGTGCCAGGCAGCTAATGAGCTCATTTAGCCTCAAAATCATGCTAAGAGATTAGCCGTGCTGCTCCACTTCCCTAAAGGAAAATCGGAGGTTCAGAGATGTGACCTTTCCTCTCTCTGTGCCCTTGATTTAAGACCAAGGTCCTTTCACCTCTCAGAATTCTAACCAACTCCCCCCACCCCAACTCTGCACTTCCAAGTTACTTTTAGGACAGTCTGACAACTACCTCCATCTGCTCCTTACCTGTAGGACTTCTTTCACTCACCCAAGTCCCAGTTATTGGCAGCAGCCTCAAGTCCACCCTGTGGGTCACAACTCCTCTGCCATTCCAGCTTGCTAATTTGTATCCTTATTTATTTTTCTAGTGTCCAGGATGGAGCCCAGGGCGAGGTGCATGCTAGAGAAGTGCTCTACCACTGAGCCTATCCACCGTGCTCATTTGTCACCCCCTCTAAGTCAATCCCATCACCACTCTCCTCTCTAACTTCCTTTTACCTGTCCTTGTTCTAAGCACCCCTTTCACTGGAGCTATAGCAACAGCCTTCTGAAGATCCCCTGGACCCAAGCTCTGTCCCTCGTTCTCCTCTCCCCACTGCCATTTTACATCACAGACACTTACCAGACTGCCAGGACACACAGAAGAGTGTGAGTTCCCCGTCCCAGTTCCTAGGCTCATGGGACTTACATCCTGCTGGCCTCCTTTACAGTCACACAAAGAAAGGCAAAATTATAATTGTGGGTAGAGTTCCAAAGGAGAGCTCCGTGGTACTATGAGAACTTATAAAGGGGGAGTCAGGGAAGCCTCTCTGGAGGAAGGAGCCTGGAGCTGTTGTGAAGGATGAGTCAAAATTAAGCAGATTATTTTTCAAAAGGAAGAAAAGTGTTCCAGCAGGAAAAAAAATCATATGCAAATCATGTGGGTGTCAACTATGTAGATGCTAATAAACAGCTGTTGGCTGGAGCTAAAAGAGGTAAGACAAAGAGGCTATAGAGGGAGGCAGGGCCAGGCCAGGTAGGGCTCTGCCAGCACCCAAAGGAGGTGGGTGTTTGTCCCAGAAGCAGTGGGAGCCAGTGAAGGATATCTGACCAGGGGCAGGGAATGAGATGACCGGGTACCAGTTTTTCTAAAAGATCCCTTTTATCTTGTGGGGATAAGAGGGGGGTCAGGGAGGCAAGTCAGGAGCTGTTATGTAAGTTCAGCGAGATGATGGAGGCTGAGAGGCATCTCTCTTGCTCAGCATCCTCTGTAGCTCCCCATTGTCCACAGAACAAAATCCAACTAAGCTTAGCTTCATTTCCTGTTTGAAATCATCTACTCTTCTCTTCTGCAACCTGTGGGCCCAGCTGCTCTGAGCTGTACGAGGTGAGATCATTGACCTCCTCTGCTCCTGCCTGAGTTTCTGCTTTCCCACAGCACCAGGTCTAGACCCTCCTCACCCCTCAAGGGCCAGCTCTGTTTCAATGCTACCTGCCATGTGAAGCCCACCAAGATTTTCCCACCTCTACTGGAATAATACTCACCTCATCTGAGCGTATGCTAAATGCTCAGGGAATTTCATCCTCCAAATACTCCTATAAGGCAGGGATGGAGCCAGAGCATAGAGAGCCATGCACGCAGGGTAAGAAAAGCAACGGATGGAGAAAGGCCCCATCAATAAGGACCCTGACTGGTACATAGTGGAGTCTGGACATTGGGAACTAATGGAGGGTTTTAAGTGGGGACTTGAACATGTCGATGCAAACTTGCATTTCGGGAATGTTCTGCCCAGCTACAGTGGAGGTGGGAAGAAGACAAATTCAGATTTATTGTAAGTAGGGGACTGGGGAAGAGTTCTGATTAGAGATATTGTGAAAAGAGAAGGTCAGATGAAATGTGGAGAGGGGCTCACTGGAACCATTCCCAGGCTTCTGGCTTGGGGGATGGGTGAACAGAGATGCTCTTCCTGAGATGGAGGAAGAGTACACATTCAGGGAGGGCCCTGTTCAGGTGAGAGTGCCTGGACGTTGTGAATGTGTCTATCCAGTAGGATCCAGAGGCCCAGAGCTCAGGGAGCATCAGCACAGGGATGGAGTGTGATGAGCTCCAGGGAGCACACAGGGAGAGGAGGACAGGTCCACAGGCCTATTGTCCTGTGTGAGGAGCACTGACTGGTAAAGGAGGGTGTTGGGGAAAAGAAGCCTGTCACAGGGACTGAGGAGTGACCAGAGGGGAGGAGAGGGTGGCATCCAGGCAGTTTGAGATGGAAGTTCAAAAGGCCCATGGTAGCTTCTCATGCATGGAGGTCAAGTCACATGAAGAGGAAGCTAGTGACCATGAGAGGACTTGGGTGTCTTTGATGGGAGAGGTTCAGAGCAGTTGTGGGAAGGAAACCAAATGGAGCCGTGTAAAAAACAAGCAGGAATGAGCAAGGTCAACAGCAAGAAGAGACAGTCTTGAAAGTTTAGCTTTGGGTGAGCAGGGAGATAGCAGAGGAGCTACAACAGGATGAGACCCAGGGAGGGGGAGTCTTCAAGATGTGAGAGGAAAAGACCTGGCAAAGAGGGAGAGGGCAATGAGGTCGAGGAGTGTGACTGGTGCCACACCATGATGTCCAGGGCAGCAGAAAGGCTGAGGTCTGGACTTGCACCCAGGTATGAACTGTGGACAGAGCAGTGAGCTCACCTGTCCCTGGAGACTGAGCAAATGTAAGGGGTAGGTCAGCTCTCACCTCCACAGGTGTGTAGGTGGGCCTGGGAAGGAAGCTGGCACTGATCATGCCTCTGGGCCTTGGGGTTCTTTGTGACCATGGACTAGTGTCAGCCAGTAAGGGGACAGAAAAGGTGGATCTGGCTTGAGAAGGGGGCATGAGCAGAACTACAACTCATCCTAAGACTCACGGAAGGGACCCAACCAGGAGCAGGTATATACTCCAGCTCCCTAGCTGAGTAGACTGGATAAGAACCCAGGTTCTCATCCTGACCACCTGGATACCTGCCCCAGCTCCACCATTAACTATGAAACCCTGGACAAATGGCTTTCCTTTTCTATGTTTATCTTTAAATTTGGGGTAAAAAATAGATACTGTCTGGGTATGTGGCTCAATGGTAGAGCACGTGTCTAGCAC